GCGCGCCCGGGCCGCCGGCCGCGAGCCCCGGCCGGCCGGTGCTCATTGGCCAGGCCTGGGCCGGGCGCCGCACCGCCCCCGGAGCGTTTCCCCCTCCCCGGGCCGCGCCCACGCGAGCCGGAGAACTGTCCCCGCGAGAGCGCCCCGCCCGGCTCCGCCTCGTCCGGCCGTTGGAGGGTGGGGCGTTACTGCCTGCTAGGGTCGGGCAGCGCGGGCGGGCGCTGGCCCGGATAGGCGGTGGGTCTCTCCAGTCCCGCCCAGAAACGCCGTTGGAAGAAATATTTCTGGAATACCAGTAATGCCTTAGGCGTGCTACAGGACAGGGGAACATACTAGGTTTCTTTCCTCGTGCCGTTTACGATCTAGCGAGAGAGAGGAGCATTCATCACCCAAATGCAAGTTAAGCTGTGATCAGTGCAGAGGGGGAGAATAAGGTGCTCAGGGTGGGGAGGCGAACATCGCCCAGTCAAGAAGGGCAGGGAAGGCATCAGCGAAGAAATGATGTACACATTGCCCTCTTCCTCTTTGCCCACTCAGGCGCGCTCCACACACACACACATCCACATAGACAAACATACCCCAAGCACACCTTACCCAAAGGACGAAAGAGAGATTACCATAAACATGTCTGTCTGCCCACCTTTTTCAGTGACCATAGGTGTGGTGTCGGTCAAAGCCAGGAGAAGGACGCTGATCTGGTGGGTTCTGCAGACGACGGGCTGCTAGACATCAGGCTGGGGGCAGATACCTCCTGGAGATGCACTCTTAAATGTTCAGATTTTCCCGCTGGCAAATGGGGCAGCAACACCACACAGGCCTTCAGGAATGAAGATGCAAGCGGTTAGCATATGAAATGACACAACTAAATGACTTGCCATTTAAATGCTAAGAGAAAAGGTTACTAGGCTAAATAGCCTCTACTTAAGCTTTAAAACTTTAACGGTTGATTGTTTGTTTGTTTGTTTGTTTGTTTGTTTATTCCAAGTACTGTTCATGAGCTAAACAGTAGGGATAGAAAGCCAGATAGACTGAGAGCTGCCTGCCTTCATAAAGTAACCCAGGCTACTAGGGAGGAGAAGCAAGTTAATTGATTACAGTGAGATGTGATAAGGGTATTTTTATGTTACGTTACGTAGAATGCTATGATAGCACTGAGAAAATTAGGTTGGAATTGTAAAAGGCTTCTGGGAAACTGTGCCTGAGCTGAGTGTTGAAGGAAAAGTAGAAATGGCAGAATGAATGGGGTTGAAGGACATGGTGGGACAGATCTTCCAAGCATAGGAGCATGGAACCCCTAAATGAAGGCCTGATGCTTTTAAAGGGCTGAAAGAACTTCCATGTGGCTGAAGCAAAAAGAATGTGTAGGTGGTAGCAAGAAATCAGGCTAGAGAGTAAACAGGGACCATATCCTGAAGGGCCTTGTGTGAGGAGCTAAGGAATTTTTAACTCGCTGTCCAAAAGTTAAAAGAGCCCATGGCTTAATAAGATTTGCTTTTGGGTAAGACACAGGGATAATCAGTAGCCTGGAGGAAAAGAGGAGCCGGTTGGAGACCTTACAAAGGTAGAAACTGTAAATGCGACATGTACAACCTATACTCACTTGGGGCCTCTTTATCCTTGAGAGATCCACTTTCTCTTGGCCCTCCCACTTCTGCATCTAACTGTGTTGGGCTTCTCTCTATTCCTGGGATTCCAGTGAACTTGAATCCTTCCATCTCTCCAGAGTTGATGACTGACTAGAAATGGTGAAAAGAGGCTGGGATCCTGGATAATGACAATATCACCTAAAAAATCCAGGAGAAGAAATTTGGCTGAAAAGATATGAATTCTGTTAGGATGAGGCTGAGTTTGCAGTAACTGAGGGACATTGAAGTGGCGGTGTCCAAGGGGCAGTTGGGATATGGGTCTGGAACACGAAGGGAAGCCTGAGCAAGAGCTAGAGGCATGTGAATTTTCAATAAGCACTGGCAGTTGAAGCCATGATTGTAGATGAGGTCAGCCAGGGAAAACACTCAGAGTGAGGAGAGCAGACTACAGAATAAACCCAGTGACTCTGGCATTTAGGGGATGAGAGTCCAAAGGGAGCCAATAAAGGGAAGGAGCTAACAGATTTGACAGCAAAGAGGAGACATATGGGCAAAGCCAAGGAGAAGAAAAGGAGGGACAGCAAGCAGATCAAATGGCTCAGGGAGGACCATCAAAAGGAGGAAGGGAAGTGCCAATTTGTTTGGTCTACATGGGGCTCAACTGGGCAGAAACCCTATTAGGGAGTGGGAGGTAAAAAAAAAAGAAAAGAAAGCTGATCAGACCTATCTTTGCAGGAAGCTTCCATGTGAAGGGAAAGGGAGAATGGTAGCAAGGGTCTTTGGTTTGGTTTGACTTTCATATGGGGCAAATGTGAGAAAGTTTAGGGACTCAGAGTAAAGATACAGGTGCAGATGGTGGGGTAGGGGAGGCAGATCTAAAGCCTTAATAAACAGAGATCAGTAGTTCTTTTCCTAAAAGGAGAAGGATAGAAAGATGGGAGCCAGATGGACATAAACACTGAAGAGTAAGATAAAGAACTCTGTACTTTACAGCCTCAGTTTTCTTAGTGAGAAAGAAAGGCCTTTTTAAAGTAAGGCCGTATGTTGAGAGTGAGCAAGATGTTGAGGTGGACATTTGGAAAAGGAAAAGGAAGAGTGGGAGACACTCCCTAAAGCTGTCTAGGGATTGTCAGGCAGAGAAAGCATACAATGTTCACTAGCAATCCACAAGGACCCATATATAGAACTGCAGAGGATGAATTAGGAGGCTTGCTCCAAGGTGGAGTCTTGGTGGCTGAGTAAGAGGGAAAGACAAGGAAGAAAGAAGGTGGGAAAAGAATCCCTGAAATAATGACTGTGAGAATTTTGTCAGAGACAGAAGTCAATGCAGAAAAGAGAAAACTGAATCATCAAGAGCTGGTGAGGTTGGGAACTGTAGGAGTTCATGAGTGGGAGAATTTCCATCCTGAAGGACAATGACCACGGATATGCTGCCGAAGATTGGGATCACAGAGACGGGCCAGTCTGAGACAACGACAGGCACAGGTTGTGCAGGGAACAGGCAGCCAGAGTCGGGTGGAGAGGAAGTAGGGACCGTCAGTCATGATAATGTTGGTGGGGCTGGCCACATGACAGTTGAAGTTGTCCAGAATCATGGCAGGACTCAGGGCTGAGAGGAAAAGCCCAAAGACCAAATGTCAGAGTCTTTGGGGAACACAGAGAAAGCTCAGGAGAAGGGGGGGGGGCAGTGGCATGCAGTCTCAGTTAGGAGGCAGTAAGGGAGGCAAGAAGAAGGTCAAGCCCGCCTCACCCCCAGCATCATGGTGGGAGGAGACAGGCCATTCCTGAGGGGGCAGGGAGGAGGTGGAGTATTCACGATGAGATTGACAGTAGAGGAGACTTTGTCTATAAGGGAAAGGAGAGTCTGGCGCAAGAAAGTGTTGGCAGGGAGGGCTCAGTGCAGGGATATGTCTGCAAGAAGGAAACGCTACCGTCTATTGAAACCATTTACTTAGGTTTACCAGATACAGTGGAGTTTAATCATTTCTCTTACTCAACCTCTCTGCAGCATTTGACACTGTTGAACATTTCCAGCTTCTGAGAATTCTCCATAATCTTGGTTTCTAGCACTCCCCACTATCCAGCCTTGTCTTGGAGTTCTCACTGTTCCTTTGATAAACCCTGTTTTCTTCCCCATCTATAGACTTGCTGACCCCACTAGCTCTCTCTGCTCCTGCCTTCTTCCTCAGTTGTCTCAACCTTCCCTTTGGATCCCAGATGTCACTTCAAGTCTTTATTCTAACTGCTGGCAGAACATATCTAAATACAATTAAATAATCACAAAGGTTATCATTAACATAATTGTCTAGTTCTTCCCAGTTTTCAAGTTTCAAAGTGCTCTCCCATCTATTATCTCGTTTCTTCAGAAAGAGCAAGTACAACCCCTATTTAATAATTATGGACACTGGAGTTCAGAGACATATTCAAGTCTGAACTAATCTTGTACCCAAAACTCACTTTTCTTATGACTATTAATGGTGAAAAATATCTTGCTCTCCAGGCCAAAAACCATGTACCACTTGACCTTGTCTTCTCCCCACCTTGATTTCTCTCCCTAAGTGATGTGGAATCATTCTCCCAAGTATGTTAGGTTTGTGTTCTTCGGTAGGCTCTGCACAGCACCTCACTGTTATCAAAATAATGAGCTGGCTATTGTCACCCAAACTTGGCTTATCAACCACCACTGCCTATCCCAGATTAAAAACTTCCATGCTGAAAATCCTTGTAGCCCATGAGAAGAGAATGGCAGGTTTTCAAGAAACTACCTTATGTTGTTTGCATCCTGAAAGTTTTCACTTCACTCATCTTTTCAGTTAAAAGGACCCAGTAGTTCACCAATCCAGTCACTTACCACCCCCCATATGCCAGCTATGCCAAGGATGGGTGACAGGAGGACCTATGCAACATGACCTTTGCCCTCAGAGTTTATGGTCTAATGAGACATGTCCATGTGTCATGGAAAGAATGTTCTTAGGTGCACACCTCCTTTGCCAGGGGCTGTGGGAGTGGCAGGGCGGGTCACAGAGAGCCAACCCTTAAGGAGCCATAAATAATGGCAACACAGGATTCATGCTGTCCACTGGGTTTCAACCATATTCCTAGACTAGTGGCAACAGTAAGCTCCAGGTTCTGGGCCCAAGCCCCTCCTGCAGGGACCGAGTAGGGCCTCTGATGGCTGAGCTGTTCCAGGAACAATGAGGGGATTGTTTTTGGGTAAAGGAGAAAGAAAAGGGGAAAGTGGGAGGCAGGGGCACTGGGACAGCAGAGGAGAGAGCTGGTTCGTGGGGCAGATAAAGGGCTGGTCTGATGGCTTGGTGTGGGAAGGAAAGGGGTCAAGCAAAGCCACTCAATGAGTACAAACTAAGGAAAACCCTCCAAACGTGTTGCACAACGTCTCGAAACACAGTAAGTGCTTGGTATAATTCCTGTGCATTTTTTACTATAGCAAATGTAGACACAAAAAAGAAAACAAACCTTCATAATAGGATGATTATCAATATTTCCTCCATATATAATGTATTCAAATGGATTGTTTCTGTGGAATAAGAACAGAGTTCAGCAAATGCACGTGCTTCCAAAAGGGGTAGGATCCACTTGGGGGTTTCCCTCAGCAATGTGATGTGTAACGGTAAATATGTGCCTTACCAATTGGTTAAAATATGGCTAAATATGGCAAGTGATTTGATTCAAGAGAAAGGAGCTACAAGGAAGTTGATTTAACCACAGCATTCATTCATGCATAGGTGCATTTAGCAAATTCTTATGGAATGTTTACTAGGCACTAGGAACAGACGCCTGATTTCTAACACTCCTGTTTTGTTTGGTGCCAGGTTACCACTAGCAACTTCTGAGAATGCCAAGCAGGGGATGAGGTGACACTGGTGGATAAGGAAGCCTAGTGTCAGCCGAAATAAAGGCAGGATGCCAGTGCTCTCTGTGGTTTCCTAGGAGATGAGCAGCAGGCAGCAAGGGGCTTTTCCCCACCACACAAAGGCTGTACTGTCAGCACAGCCTGTCCCCACTCTGACCTCAGGTCTTTAAGGAAATGAATACTTGCTCCCTCTTGCAAAAGGCACACACCATGGCTGCTGTTCACAGGCTTGTGGGACTGGAAGGATGGCATGGGCTTTCCCTTTTCTCACCAGAAGAAAATGAAGAGTTCATCCAAATACCCAGACCGACCAACCAAATGGGGGCCAGGGTTGAGGGGTGAGGGAGGGAGAGTCAGACCGGGAAAGGACATAACCACAGAGGAGCCTTCGGCTTGAGAAGTCGAGAAGTCAGTGGCTGAGGAGGCAAGAAGGCAAGGAGGCAGAGGCGCCTAGGGGGCTGGGAGAAGAGGAAGGCAGGGAGCAGTGTCTGGCTGGAAGGGCGGGGTCCTGCAGGCAAAGCCAAGAACAAAGGCCAAAGGTATCCTTTCAGAGCCCGCAATTACAAGCCCACTCGTCTCCCTAGCAAATGACTGTAAACCAGAGGCCCCACTTAAGCTTCACATTAAGACCTCCTGCTTCCTCTAACTCAATCTAACTTTCAAGTACAGATACAATAATCCTTTCACGTTTAGTCTCCTTTATGTTGCAAATAAAAGCAGGCCTTGTCTAGTGCATCATTCTTTGTAGCCTTTACAATACCCTCTATATAATATAGAATAAAATTTATCTTAAATTTTGCTATGGGGTGGGAAGGGATAGACTGGGATTTCAAAAATTGTAGAATAGATAAACAAGATTATACTGTACAGCACAGGGAAATATATACAAGATCTTATGGTAGCTCACAGAGAAAAAAATGTGACAATGAATATATATATGTTCATGTATAACTGAAAAATTGTGCTCTACACTGGAATTTGACACAACATTGTAAAATGATTATAAATCAATAAAAAATGTTAAAAAAAAGTTTTGCTATGATAAGTGAATCATTTTGACAGGTGATCATCAGTTTTAGGGTGCTGAACTTTTCAAGTCTAAAATCCACATGCAGGGGTGGTGTGAGTGTAGCTCAGTGGTAGGGTGTGTGCTTAGCGTGCATGAGGTCCTGGGTTCATTCCCCAATAACTCCATTAAAGGAAAGAGTAGAATAAAATTATTTTTAATTAAAAAATGCATATGCAGGAGATTTGGCTAGTTTAGGGAGCTATTTGAACTGATCAGCAGTTCACCTATGAGACAGAATTCTACAAAATAATCATTTGGTAAAAATTAAAATAACCTCCCTTCTATGACTCTAAAAATTATATCAAATAGGTTTTAAACTGTGCTGTTTCTTCTAGACATAATTTGATCAACCTAAGGTCCTGGAAGAACTTGTCCAAAACTTAAGGTGGAGGTGGCTAAACTATTTGCTTAAATTGCACATCTGCTCATTAAAGCTAATTAGTGTTTTCTGTCATTAATGCTAGCATGCCGAACTTCCTACTGCTAAACTTCAGTCCTATCTGGAACACATATCTCACAGGCCAGGGATTTAGGAGCAGCTGCTCTGTATCATTATGTCACATTACATGTTATTATAATTTTATAAACTATATGCATGATAAAAGCTGGATTGATTATCCGACATTGCCCTAACGAGTTCTAGGAGCCAGTGTCTCCGATGCTCACTAAAAATAAACCTTTATGCTAGTTGACTACTAATGCTGAAATTCAACCAGTGTCAACACACTCTGAAGACCTGTCAGAGTTGTCTTTAAAAAATAAATAAAAATAAATAATAAATAAATAAATAAAATTTGATTTAGGATACTGATTTAGGGCTGTTGCATTTTACGCAAGGAAAGTATTCCTAAAGATTTTATATAATTTAAAACATTAATTCAAGACAGAGCCTGGCAAAGTTTGGTCTTTATTTTTGCCTATCTGATAAAGAAGAAATGCCAGGTAGCAATACTTAAAGGCACTTTGCAACTTAGTAACCCAGCCACTTTTAGAATATGTGGTTCTTGATTATTTTAAAATTTGGGAAGAATTTCATTGTTTCAAACTTTGCATAGAAAATGTGACAATGTCTTTATAATGTTCTGTTTCAAACTTACATCATTCGAAAATACATTAAACATGATTACATTACATAAGCAACTGGAGGAGTTTATAGAAAAGGAAAAGAAACTGAAGGATACTCATTAAAATAATCTAATTTACCCACCAATATAATTTTTCCTTCGTGATATTTGCAGCATATATGATAAACAGCCAGTATGCTGAATAATATCCAAAGAATTCTTACAAGTCAACAATAAAAAAGATAAACTGGAAAATACTCATTAAAATAATCTGGTTTAGGCAGCAAATATTTTTCATTCATAATGTTTGCAGCATATATACTGCTCTACGAGTCTTTTCCCTTTCACTGTACCTCTTAGACAATCATTCCATTTTAGTCCAAAATGGACCCAATTCATTCCTTTCAAAACCTAATCTATTGAATGAATGTAGCCTGATTTGTCTAATCCCCTATACATGTGCATGGAGGTACCCCAATGCCTGGAACAAAACCTGGAACAAAGGAGGTGCTCAAATATTTGTTGACTAGATGAATGTTTGTAAAGAGAAAGATGGAGGAGGCCCACAACCTTGTCTGCAATAGGTGTTCAGAATAAGCCTCCCCAAAATGTATCACTTTTGCACGAGGACTTTTTTGAGCTAAAGGCTATCAAGCTCCTGTGGGCTCAAGAGAAGCTACTATTGTTCCTCCGCTAACTAACTAGAAGAATTTAAATTGGATGTTTTTCCTAGAAAAGAGTTACTACTGCAGGTAAATTTTATCTAAGTGGCACGATCTGTATGTCAGGGCAAAGATCTCACTACCAAACATCTACTCTTCTCATCCTGTGAATGACCCTCCTGCCCTTGGAAGTCCCAGGCACTGGCCCATTCCTTAGCTCAGGATGGTGCATGGACTTCATTTTACCTTTCTGTCTCTGACCCTCTCAGTGTGTGGGGTTCACTAAGTTAAACTTGATTTTCTCGTGTTAAAGTGTGATGTCAAGTTAATTCTTAGGCCAGCCAGAAGTACCTAGAAGGGTAGAGAAAAGTTTTCTTCCTCTCTGACACTATGATGTTCTCTGCAATCTCCCAGAAGCTAGAAAAGCTAGGATTACCTGGTGTGTCCTTAAAAAATACGTAACAGTTATAGCAACTAACCCTGAGGGTGAGGAGACTAAAGGAAGAGGAGGAAAAGGCCACTTTTTACTTTACATAATCCTGTATTCTTTGGTTTTTCTTACAAGCACGTTCTGCTTTTGTGATCATAATTGTAGAGGTAGGGAGCAGAAAGCTTGACATCACTAGAAAGATACTGGTAAGATAAGCAAGTATATGTCCTACAATCTGCTATCTTTCGACTTACTCTCATTTTAACTACTTCACTCCAGTCATTTTGTTTGGTCCCAGTGCAATCCAGGAAAAACTTCAAATTAGCATCCGTACGACTCCTTGACTACATTTGTTTACATTAACAATTCCTTCCACAGCTATTTTCCTAGGTCTGCAAATGTTGTCTTCAGTAACAGGCATTTTTGATTACGTAAAAACTCCCATTCCTTTAACCCATAAAGTAGCTAATGCTTTTCATGTGGTATGACGTCAGCGTGATGTCTAAAGTTGAGATGTCCTTTCTTTAAGTGGAGGACTGACCCAATGACAGTGGTAGGAAAATTGGCACAAAACAGAGGGAAATTTCCTGGTTCTGCTGCCCTGGTCACTGCCAGCCCCTGACCTTCAGCTGCTGCCGTGACAAGGCTGTGAGTCTCCTTAACTCTCCCATCATCCCCACGGAGACTATCTCAACCTAACCTTTCACTCTACACCACTGAGGTACCCCAAGAAGCAGGGGAGTCAGTCTTCCCTTGAGGCTCAGGGCTTGCATAGAGCCTGAAGAGGACAGCCAGAACAGGCACAACATTTATTTGAAACCTCATTCTAAATTTGCATTATGTTCCAAAAATATATACTTGATTTGTTTCAATATTCATTTCAATATATAAATACTTTGCCCCCAAAATCTCCCCCAATGAATCCAATGTTCTAGGAAGATGGGAACTGTGCCTATGGTGGTTTCAAGTGCCCCCAGCACATACACCAACTGACATTCAAGTCTAAAAACCTGGCCACAGGCCTCTCCCACTTAACCTTCAGCTCAGATTTGATTATCAAAGTCTCCTGGCAATTCCAGGATTCCAGGACCTGCAAGCTTTAATCAAGCACTCCCGTCAGCTCCTAAACATATGGCCAACCTACTCTTTCTGCGCAGAAAGCACAGGGGGCCCCTATCTCCTTCTGTGTGTGGTATGGGCTCCTCTGCCATGCTTTCCAGAACCTCCACAGTTGGACTGCACCCTCCTGCTCTCCACTCCTGCTGGCGGCCCCAGGCTCACAAATGGCTTCTCCGTTCACAAACGCTACATGCTTGCTTCCATCTTAATGCCTGGAATTTCTTTCCCACTGGCCTCTAAAATGTCCAAATCATGTTTTTCCAGACCCAACTTAAATTTTCCTTCTTAAATTTAATGATTCCCTGACTGAAAAATTGTGCTGAACACTGGAATTTGACACAACATTGTAAAATGATTATAAATCAATAAAAAATGTTTTAAAAAAATTTAATGATTCCCTGCTCTTTCAAAATGTAGTAACAGCTCCAGTCCATGCCAGCCATTGGGTTCATCACTTGCTGTTTTTTTTTCCCCTCACATTTTGGGTAATGTCTTAACTCTGGTCCCAAAACCCCCTCCCTAAACCATCCCAGTAGCCCCTTTCCTTATCCCACTCCCCAACCCAATACCAAGTCCTTGTTTTGGTCCTGGTTGACCTTGGTCCTCCAGGCCTTCCAGAGTCAGTAACCCTGGCCCTGAACCCCACCCCAATCCTGCTTTCATTTCACTCCTCCCTGGTGCCCACCTGTTGCTGCTGCCAGGTGCCAAGAGGCTCTGCTCCCTGGCTGGGCACTCTCATGTAGCCTCCTCATGGTAGGCTCTGGGTTCCAACCTTCCCAGGCAGATGGAACATTCCTAACCACATTTCTGCATCCTCTATAACTCAACCAAATGAATTAAACTGGTGCTATATCAAGGTGCGTGAATGGTGACTCAAAGATGGGCATGCGGGGCCTCCATTAAAAGAGTGCATGTCTACTGGAGAAAACAGTCTGGAAAAGGCAGTGTTTTCCTGCCCAGGATGTAATGGTGTCAGAAGGCAGAAGACATGACATGTGACCTGGGGCTCAAAGGGTGTATCTGATTCCCCAATTAGAAATGGGGAAGGTGACACAAAGGGACATTCCAGACAGGAACCTGCCTAAGCCAGAGGCACTGACGACATGAAAGTCTCCAGTCCCTTCAGAATAGCAAGCACACCAGCTCTGTTAAAGACTGAGTTTTCCCTCACAAATTTTTCTAATTATGAAATATTTTCCCAGTTCTAGATAAAAGAAAACCTTTTATAGGAGAGAATTTGGGTGTGTTCTCATGCAAATACTTACCAGCGTTAAACATTATCCTTTGAAAGTAGATCCTTTTTGTAAATACCACGAAATCAATTAGAGAATAATCCAGTGATTCACATGGTTTACCAAACTGGTTCATGCTCTATGGAATGAGTGAAAAGGATGAAGAAATGAGTCATCTTTCATGCTCTGTGGAGTGAGCAAAAAAGTAATAAAACTGATCTTCTTGGCCCACAAAGGGATTCAGAAGGCAATTTTAAAAGTTACTGACCAAGCTGGAACTATAGGAATTATCTTAGACTACTCCCTCAGCTCCTATCTTTACGTTAAATTACTGACCAAGATCTCTAATCATTTCCCTAACTGCTGAATGACTCCATTGTCCTGGCCACCTCATTCCACTCCTTCCCAGTCCCTAACACAGGTTAACCATTGATTCCTACCTGAACGGACCAAAGATAGATCATGACTAGTATGTATTTTGATTGGGTGGAGGATGGGGAAAATCAGGTTGTCATTTTCTACCTTGATGAAAAATATTCAATTGTTACGTTTTTGTAGAACACATGGAAATGTGGACTATATTTCACTCTGTACCTATAGGGTTCACATATTGGATAGTTATCACATTTCTGAGAGTTATAAAAGTACTTCAGGATACAAACTACTATATATAAAAGAGATAAACAACAAGGTCCTACTGCATAGCACAGAGAACTATATTCAATACCTTGTAAGAACCTACTATGAAAAAGAATCTGAAAAACTATACATATATAAAACTGAATAACTTTGCTGTATACCTGAAAAAAAAAAGTACTTCAAGTCCCTCTAGGGAGGAAGGTGCACATTTCCTTGAACACCTTCCACAGTGGCCCCCATCCCATTTGTGCACATAAAGTACTAGCCTCATACTTCACCTTCCTGTCTTGTCCCCAAAATCAATCCTTCCTCACTACTACTAGAGTTAACTTTCCAAGAATCTTTCCATGACTTTTCATCATCGCAGCATGGTGGGCAACATTTTTCATGCTTCTGCTCTGCCCTCTCTCCCCGGAGCACACTGAACTATCACTGCTCTCTGTGGAACGCTCTTTCTCACTCCCCTGGGCCTACATAAAAGAACTATTATTCCATGCCAGGAATCACCTGAGTCCCCACTCCTGCTTCTCCTGGTGACCTCGAGCTCACCTTTCAAGGACCAGCTCCCTGGTCTCTTCCTACACGTACCTTCACTCTCTCCTTCAGACCCCAAGCAGCCCTCCCTCCTCCACAAGGACAGAGCCCCTCGCTCTCCCTCCCCAGAGCACCTGCCACCTGCATTGTCACTGTCACTGCACTGTTTGCTGCCCCACCATTCAGTGAGCTCCTCAGGCCCCTTCATCTTTATGTCCCCAGCAGTGCTTGGGACAAAATAGATTTTCCACAAATGTTTGTTGAAGGAATAAATATGAGAATGAAGAGCTCTGAGAATATTTTAGCAACAACAGCACCAGAAAAATAAGCACACAGTTTCCCAAAGTCACTGCTATTAAGAATAAAATTAACTTAAAAAAATTAATGGAGATACTGGGGTTGAACCCAGGACCCTCATGCATGCTAAGCACACTCTACCACTGAGCTATGCCTTCTTCCCAAAAAATTATTTTCAAAAATCATAGCAGATTACACTTACATTGGATGTTGCAAGGTGAAAGCCTTTTTTTTTCTTCTTAAGGCAAAGTGATATCATCTCCTGATTTTAAAAATATTTAAAATATGTCATACTTAAACACCTAATTTAAGCCAGAAATCATCACCTTCCTCTTTCTGCTGCAGCCTGAAGAAAAGATAGAAGTCAGAAAGTATAAAAATGTGATGAGTAGCAAGTCTCAGTGCTAATGTCCTAGCAAGATGTCAGCCTCCTGAAAGGAGAGTTCATTCAGATGAACACCCTCAAGTGTCTGCTGCCATGTCCATGCCCCCAGGGTGAGCCACAGCCACCCCATATCTCCCCAGAAGACACCCAAGCCCAGCAGGTTATATGCACATTACGGCCACCAAAGAGTCCAGTGTGACTTTCTTCAGGGACAAAAGAAAACCTTGCACCAGGAAGCAAGAGGCATGTAAAGTGACATGAGAAGACAGAACAGACATAAACAGAGGGAAGACCATGTGGAGACACAGGGAGAAGATAGCCATCTACAAACCAAGAAGACAGGCCTCGGCAGAAACCAACCCTATCAACACCTTGATCTCAGACTTCTAACTCCCAGAATTGTGAGAAAATAAATTTCTATTGTTTTTGCAACTCAAAAAAAGTCTTTGATGACTAGCCAAAAAAAAAAAGCAAATGTCTAATTTATGACATCATTCCAAGTACTTACTAAGATATACATCAAACCAACAAGCTAGGAGACTTTTGCCTTCTCTGTTGGCTTCTTCCTTCAGCCTTCTCAGGTCAGCCCAGCTCAGAGCTGACTGGGTGAACTTCATCTATGTGCAGGTCAGGTGTTGTCCTAGGCAAGACCTGCCTGGACCCTGAAGAGCACTCAGTCTAATCTGAGATACGTTTCCTGGATGTAACTGCTCCAATGAAGGGCCTAGACAGGAGGCACCCCGCCCACTGAGGAGCACCACCCATTCCCAAAGGAGCTCATTTTGTCACTTTATTTCATCAGCAGGCCGCCCTTGACTTTCATGACTTATTACTCCCACAGAACTTGCATTTTTCAAACTCATACTGATGCCTCCAAACCACCTTTTATGAACAGAATTCCACTCTTACCCAGCTTGACAAGTTTTCTGTCCTAGTATTTCCCATCCCAACCAAGAGAATCTTGCCATTTTCTAAGCATGATTTGCTCATTCCCAACTTAGTGTCTCTGTAAATGCCAACCTCTAGAAAGCTTCTCCCCCAGGAAATCCAATGTATTCTCCTCCTATCAGTCAGGGGTTCTCATCCAGGGGAGATTTTACCCCCCAGGGGGTATTTGGCAATAGCTAGAGACACTTGTGGTTGTCAGAACTAAGAGTTGCTACTGGCATCGAGTGGGTAGAGGCCAGGGGTGCTCCTAATATCCTACAATGTCTAGAACAGCCCCACACACGAAGAATTATCTGGCCCCCAAATGTCAATAGTACCCAGACTGAGAAATCCTGCTTTGAGTTGAGTTTTTGTTCATTTACAATGTTGTGTTAGTTTCTCACGTACAACATGGTGATTCAGTTATACATCCACATATTACTTTTCATATTCTTTTTCATTATAGGTTATTACAAGCCATTAATTAGAGCTCCCTGTGCTATACCTTAGGACCTTGTTGTTTATCTATTTTATATATAGTAGTTTGTATATGCTAACCCCAAACTCTTAATTTACCCTTCTCCCTCCAATTTGTGGACTTTTTTTTTTGGTGGGGGGATTAGGTTCATTTATTTAATGGAGGTTCTGGGGATTGAATCCAGGACCTCATGCATGCCAAGCATGCACTCTACCACCTGAGCCATACCCTCCCCACCATGTGGACTTTTTAATGATGGCCATTCTGACCGGTGTGAAGTGGTATCTTATTGTAGTTTTGATTTGCATTTCACTGATAATTAGCAATATTCAGTATCCTTTCATGTGCCTATTGGACATCTGTATATCTTCACTGGAGAAACATCTGTTTAGGTCTTCTGCCCCATCTTTTTTATTAGGTTGTTTTTTTTTCTGTTATTGAGTTGTATGAGCTGTTTGCATGTTCTAGAAGTTAAGCCTTTGTTAGTCACATCATTTGCAAATATTTTCTCCCAGTCCATAGGTTTTTGTTTGTTTATGGTGTGTGAAACCTTGTAAGTTTAATTAGGTCCTATTTGTTTATTTTTGTGTGTATTTCTATTGCCTTGGTAGACTGCCCTAGGGAAACATTGCTATGATTTATGTCAGAGAATGTTTCACCTATGTTCTCTTCTAGGAGATTTATGGTTCTCTTCTGTCTTATGTTTAAGTCTTAAGTTAAGCTTCAAATTCATCTATTTGGATTAGGAAAGTGCTCACTTCAGCAACACATATACTAAAATTGGAAGGCAGCTATGCTCACCACTATACCACTAACGCCTCAAAATTGGATTAGGAAATACTCCCACATTAACCATACTCAACTCTGATCACGCCCTTGCGCTGCATTACCCTAGAAGGTACAAGGTCTCTATAGTAACTTAGATGTGAGGATAAGAATCCTAGAGTCTCAGGATCAAATAGGACTTTAAAAGTCATATAGTCTATGAGGAGGGTGTAGCTCAGTGGTTGAGTGCCTGCCTAGCATGCACGAGGTCCTGGGTTCAATCCCCAGTACCTCCATTAAAATAATAAGTAAGTAAATAAATAAATAAATGAGTACCTAATTACCTCTCCCCACCAAAATAAAATTTTTTAAAAAGTCGAATAGTCTAACCATTTCCTTGCCCACATTGCTTTGTAAACATGTTGCATGCAAAAAAGTCGTCTTTCTTCAGCTAGATTGTAAGCAGTTTCGCTAAGTCTTTATATGCTCATGCACTCTGCACATGTTTACTGAGCACCTACTATGTACCAAGCACTATTCTAGGCACTGGGGATACAGTGAGAATTAGACATTATCTCTGCTCTTGTGGATCTTAAGTTCAGTGGGCTAGATATTTTTTTAAATTATATAACTTCCATTGTGATGATCGCTCTAATGGGAAGAACATGGTTTACCTGGTAACAGGAGCTCCTAAGCTGATCTGGGACATCAGAGAAGTCTTTCCTGAGGATGAAACATTTAAGCACACATTAGGCATTCAGTTAGTATTTGTTGAATAAATAAAGGTGAAGCATGAAGGATAAATAAAAGTTACTCAGGTAAAGTGTACAGAGGTAGGAGGGGGACAGCAGGGAAGCTGAGTGGCTATGATGGGTTTGAGGCACCGATGAGACATCAAGACAGAGAAAGCATGTGGTCCATTGGATGTATGTGTCTGGAGCCCAGAGAGAAAGGCTGGGACCACACCCAGGGGACTTCCAACTCCAACATGTAAGTCAGGAAGAGGAGGAAGAACCAATGAGAGATGAATAAGGGGAGGCCAGAGACACGGGCAGAAAACCAGGAAAGGGTATGTCATAGAAGAAAGCTTTTCAAGCAGAGTCCAGCCAGCTTGCAAGACTGACTAGGAGGCCCATCCTTTTGCCACCCTCAGCTCCTCAGTGCTGGGACCATAAAAGTGTCCTAGAGGATGAGCAAACTATTGTTTTTTTATTTTGGATTAGCATAGAATCCTTCCTGGTGAATTTTGTACTTCAGAATTAACCATATTATCCTGAATAGCAATCAAAGTTAGATTTTGTGCATGTGTTTATCTATGACCCTCAAATTGTGAAAGATAAATTCTACCTAATCTCAGATTCCTTTTAGGCCTCAGTGTCCCAACGCTCTAGCAGTTTAGAGTGTCAAATGGGAAAAGTTTGGGGTGAGGATTTCAGTGGCTTAATGAATAAAAGATGCATCTAACAACATGCAGTTAGATCTTGATTATTTGGGCTAGTGAATAAAATTAATGGAATCTAAAACCCCAAGTTCAACCTTTTTCCAATTAAACACTTATTTTTTAAAAATTACTAAATAGTAGGAAATCTTGTAGTAATCTCACTCTCAGTTTCCTTTCACTGTCATCTGGAAGGGATGAAGTTGTTGAAAAGCCGTCTAGGTGGGGGGAAATTAATAAGGTGCCAGATAACCTAGAAAGCGAGAAATCAACTCCTCGATAATGTTAACTGCAGCTACCACTTATTGTTTCAGATTAGATCCACAAAGAGTGCTTCCGTTTCTCATTTTACAAAGTCAGCTTTCATTGAATATTTACCCAATACAAGACACATGCTAGAATTATGAAATGAGAAAGAGAATGTCTTTCCCTGAGGGGTCTTAGATTCCACCAGTGAGATGACAAGCTACAAGGCTGAATGCAGTAAGTCTAACAGAATCACAGATGAAGTGGTGGCACCCAGAGGAGGGAGTAAGTCATTCCAACATGTGTGGCACCCAGGAAAGGAAGTGGATCAGAATGGGCTTCATGGAGGATGATCAGAGATAAGGGAAGAACATTCTAGGTGAAGGAAAAGCAGAAATAGGACTTTCCAGTTACTCTGAGAGCCTGAGGTAAAACTCATAATTGACTTGGCTAAAATGTGCAGACGCATGAGGAAATGTTGGAAGAGTGGGTAAGAAAATCTGTTAAGATAAAAATGTGGGAGAGCTTGAGGATTTTAAAGATGGACTATATCTTTTCAGGAAAATGGGGAAGTTTCTGAGAACTGAAGTGCCTAGATTGGCTTTGTGAGTTAGAAAGAAAAATGTGGCAACAAACTAAATCATGGGTTTAGGTTAAGAGAGACCGGAGACAGGGAAAACCCAATTATGCATTATCGAAGTGACTTAGCTCAGGATTGTCCATCATGTTTCAAGGAACACTAGTAAGATCAAAAGAAAGTTGGGGGAGGGCAATATTCTTGGAGAGTTATAATGCATATTAGCATATTAGCTGCTCTTAGAAGTCCTGCATTAAATATCTAATTTTGTTCAACCCCGTGTCCCAAACTTGACTAAAGCTCTTTGTTGTTATGGTAGTGGTTGTTGCAGAACACCTATGAACACTGAGCAAGACACTAGGGTTAAACAGGGTTTAATTTGTGAATTGCAATTCAGATAGATGATGAGATTCTGAACCAGGATATAGCAATATCAGATATAGCAATCAGCCCTATATTCGTAATATGATGATTTCCTCAGTTCAGTTATTTCTCTTTATATCCTGTACATAGGAAAAGACAAAGTTGAGAATTTGGGGCCACATCAGGAATTGGGAGTACTGGGTTCTGCTGGAGGGGCAAGGAAGTGAGATGAGAGGCTAAGGACAAGAGGATTGGTTCAAAGGCTATATAAGGGGGAGAGAGGGATAAATTAAGAGTTTGGTATTAATACCACTATGTATAAAATAAACAATAAGGACCTACTGTACAGCATGGGGAACTCTATGTAATATCCTGTAATAACCTATAAAGGAAAAAAATCTGAAAAAGAAATATATTTTATATATTTGCTGTACACCTGAAACCAACACAATATTGTAAATTAACCATACTTCAATTTAAAAAGTAAAAAATAAAAAAAGACTGTATAAGGAGCTGTTTGGCACCAGGTCTTATCACCACCCTGGAAAGCCAAGTGGCTTTCCCTTTACCCCAATACTGCAGGAAACAGGAAGTAAAGGCAATTTTTAACTCCAGGAAAAAAACAATGTGGAAGAAAGGAACTATAACCACCTTGCACTGCTTAGTTCAGCCATAATAATGTAATTATTTAATGTCGGCTTTTAAGAAGAAAGCCTGTGCTATATTCATATTGAGAGGAGACAGGGTATAAGAGAGCTCTAGGCCCTTTTTGACCAGAGAGGAAATAAACACCATTATCTAAAGTTGACAAGTCAAGAATCCTATTATTTAGATGAAAGTGAATGCCAGAAAAAACAGCTAAATTAGAAGAAGATGCTTCTGGGTAGTAGCATCACAGCTAGGGGAGGAAAACACTGTTTTTGTTGCATTTTAATACTATCTTATTCTTAAAACAGTTTACATATTAACTTAGTAAAAATAAAAATTAAAAAGTTCTAAGATTTGCAGTGATAAAAAGCAAACCTTTATGCATTACCTAAAGATGAAGATCATTCTTTTATTCAAGATACATTGGCAAAAGCCATCATCCGTACTAGTCTGGATCATCAGTGTAAAAGTTCTCTCGAGATCCCCAGATAAAAGCTACTGAAGGCGCAAGATATATTTTGACAATGATTCTCCCTATGAATTATTTATCATATTTTTATATAGTGAAAAACTACCTTGGCAACTGGTGTATCATGGTTACACTGTGGTTGCAGTTAACAGTTAATAAGCAGGGACTGCTATATTTGATTCAATAAAATAATTCTGAACCAGAAGCTGAAGGCTGAAAAGCTGAAGTTGCTTTAGAGAGCCGCTTACCATAGTACAAGGAGAAAGGAGATCTGTGGCCCTCATACCTAATCCTTATAAAAGCTGGCATTTCTCCACGTGCATAGGAATCCTGCGGCAAGCACACCCCACCTGGCAACTTAACACCCAAGAAAAAGTGATTTCACTTGAAAGTCTTTAAAGTGATTCATGTGAGCTATTCCAATGGCAACACAGACAGATTACACACCAACAAAGGCAGTTTAAGAGGCCAAGAGTTCATTTATATATAAGATTGC